CCGCCTGATCCTTCGCGGGCATGAATTGGAAGTCTGCACCTAGCATCAAGTCATCAACAGCAACAATGTTGTCAATGAAAAACTAACTACGCCTGTTCATTGAGAAAGCAACATGCTTCAATATGCTTCGTTTATCATAGTGCTGCAGCGGAGGAAGCGCAGGTCTCAAATCATTCCCGGGCACATTTCGCCCCCAGCTGTCTCCGCAGCAGCCTAAGATGTGGGACTCCACCTTTTGCACCACAAGGAGGCTGCAAACCTCGCTGTAGGAGGCTGACCGAACATGAGAAGCGAACTGCCGAAAAGACCACAGAGGTCACGTCGAACCTTTTTGTCACTCCTGAACTTGCAACAACTCGCGCTTTGCAAACAAAATAGTGTGGGCACATGACACATGTGTAGCATCTACGTCGCTATTCATCTAGTTCTTCCGGACCAGTTGACAAAAGTTCACTGACCCGCTGGGTGTTGACATGGTTTAGCGTTCAACTCTTGCATGGCAGGTGCATGTAAAACAGCACCAAGCACTAGTCAGGACCAGACAAAACCTTTGTAAGCAGAACTGACAGAAAGCTCGCACTGCTCCTTGAAACGGAACATGGATGCCAACTACGATCCTTTTCCCCCTATGCTGAGCCACATGTTGCCGCGAGTCTGTCTGGCTACATAATCACATTGCAAGCCAGCTGACAGGCTTCCATCTACGGCTGGTCGAAAGGCACCTACTGGCCACTGGCTTTGGCAAAAAAACAATGAAAAACACGCATATCATAATTGAGCCGAATCGGCTGCGTGAGTTCATAGACAGTGATAGTCGCCCATTGCTTCGTTCAGGAGCCATGAACTATTTGACGAGGACATGCCCATCATCAGCACAGCCATCTTACTTGAGGCTTGCATACTGAGACATGTATGTGGGAGATTACCGGTCTCAGCAGGGAAGGAGAGCCGCAAACAGCCAACTCCAAAAGCGGAACTTGTGCAACCGTTGCACTCTTCAAGAACACGACAACTTCACATAAATACACTACTTGGTGCAATAACACTTGTTGGCAAGCCTGCAGTTTTGCAGCAGCGCTCTGGGTCGGATCTCATCGTGCAATGTCAGGGTCCAGCTGCTTGCGGAATCCAGAAAACGATACTTTCAACGTTTGTAATTTTGTCTTTGTCCTTAGCAAACTCGAAAGGAGTCACTTTACCACGACACTCTTGTTCTGTGTATCTGTAACACTGAATGGGACCTCGTGCACTCTCGCGATAGCGGAAATACCCAGCCGTGTCATTGTTGTGCTTGAAGCAGTGGTCCGGGGTGGGCACCTGTCTCGGAGCGGTTCCACATTTGGGCGACTTCTTCAAATACTGCCACTTGTTTTTGGCAGCACATTTGTCGAGGGTTGCTTTCGCAAAGAAAGCTGGGCATGCTTCGCGCTTCAATCCTTCCATTTTGCAGCTGTCCTCGGTGCCACNNGTCTAGAGCCCTCAACCTGCAGGAGCGAGTTGTCCAACTTCTTCCGAATCTTCCACAGACCCATGTCGATGCCTTCTTCTATGGACAACGGCTGCACACGCAGAAAGCCATCGTTCACCACATTGCCTTCAACTGCCCAGCCCACCTGTCCAAGGTGTGACTCTTTGGCCTTCGCTGTCCACACAAGTTCTTCATCTTCACCCACGAAGGAACCGAGGCCTTCATCGTTGGCGCTCAAATCTCTTTTTTGATAGTCCTTCGCTGCCTGGCTTGACAAGACACTTTGGCACATGTGCTCGCGAGCAGAGCCTCGGATGATGTTCTTCTCCAGGCAGCACTCCGCCTTCCAATCCGCCTGATCCTTCGCGGGCATGAACTGGAAGTCTGCACCTGGAATCAGGCTAGCAACCGCCAGGATATCGTAATTGCTAGAACGAACTGCGCCGTTTGCTAGAAAAAACAACACGGCTCATTCATGATACTGCTACCGAAGAAGCGTTGCAGTTCCAGAAACTTTGAGAGTGCGGAAGCCTGAAATCTTGCCGAAGCACACTTCGCCCCATCCCAGCCACAGCTGTCTCCACAGCAGCCTAGGATGTGGGACTCAACCTTTCGTACCACAAAGATGCTGCAAGCCTCGCTGTAGGAGGCTGAGCGAGCGTCTCCAGCCGAGAACAGAAGAATCCGCCCAGTTTGCCACTTCATCTCATGCACAATCTCCTCGCACTCTTCATGGCAGACGTGCCTCAAAGCCGTCTGCCAGACGTTCATGCTGCCGTTGCCCTTCGCAATCTTTGCTTTTTCCACGTCCTCCAAGGATTTCACACATTTGCTGGAGCTCACCCTTTCCCTGGCCTGGGGCACAGCCGCGCCCCCTTTTAGGTGATACATCTCGTCAAAGTTCTTGAGCAAAGCAGCGCAAAAGTCAACGGCTGCAATGCGAAGCAAATCTCCGTCTTCGGACAAAGGCTCTTCACTGTACTTGGACCAGCTCCTTCCACATTTGCAGTTCACAGCCCAGAGCTGGCCATTTGGATCAAATTCCAGTAATTCAGTTGGAGAAAAAGAAGATGGCGGTTCAGGAAGCAGGCACGGTTCTGTCAAAAACTCATTTTGACACGTGCATTTACCATCCCTCCACGAAGCCCCCCAGAAGGAGCAGCGACCGCTGAAGCGGCCGCCATCCTTCATCCGCCACTCTTTCAGCTTCTTTTCCAGGGATAACTTCTTGCGCCGTGACAGCCATCCCCACTCCAGGCTGGGCCGGGCACCGGAAACGGCCACAAAGGCCAGAAGCACCGTGGCTACACAGAGCATTGAAATATTTCACAAACACCTGGCTTGACACAAATGGCGACTGGACACTGTAGAGATCGGTAGAGCCTGTGGTCAAGCGGAACT